ATATTTTTTTCTTTCCCTTATCCTTTCTTCTTCTTTTTTTTCTTTTAAATATGTATTTCATTTGAAAGAAAAACAAAAAACTGCTACAACTTAAAAGAGAAAATTTCTCAAGGCGCAAACAGCCTGTGGATATTCATTAATAACAGTTCACTTTTTAACATCAGTGATGAACATAATACAGCAAAAACAATCTAAAAATTAAAAAATACTGAAATTAATAATCTACATTTTGTTCATATTTTAACAACAAAAAAGTTTTTATCAATCTAGCAAATATATAAATCGTGTTGGCATTTTTGAGAACGTTTCCCAAATTGTTCCACATTCTGATTCCCTGGGAGGAAGTGCATCTCTCCTTAAAATTTGTTCTAATTTTTGGTTTGAGAAACATTTCAATTCCTTTCAAATTATAAATGCTATCTCTTTTACAACAAAGTGATTGTATGTTAAAGGGTAGTACATTCTTCTGAGCTTTATACATAAGTAACAAAATCCTGCAGTCGACTAACTCWTCAAAATTCAAAAGCCCCAACTGACTAAACTAATTATTTGAATGGTGATAATGGTGTTTCCTTGCTACAATTTCACAAATCTTACGAACTTATTCCGTCTCTTTGTCTGCAGGGCTGGTTCCCAAGCAACAGAAGAAGACCTCAACCATCAAGGACACGAAGAGACCTCCCCACCAGCCCATCAGTACTGGAGTGGGCCCGGTCGCTGCTGCGCCTCAAACTCAGCCTCAGTTGGGCCAGTCAAAGCCACAGTTTGTCCCCTCTCTGGATCCCTCCCAGTTAATGGCCCCAGGATTTGATCCTCTTGACCACTTCATGAACCCACACCTGGCTCAGTCAAACACAGAGTCCAGTGCGACAATCACCCCTGCTGGTGCTCTCGTTTCCTCTGGACTTCTCAACGCAAACACGCCCACCAACCAGACGCCAAGTGACACGCACCCTTTCCTTAACCAACATCCCATCGTACCTTCCCCAGGTATGTTTCTGTTTGTTTAGTTGCACCTTCAGGAAATTTCTTTGTGAATTTTTGTATTTGGGAGTAAAGGAAAAATCATTTTGATCCATAGACTTGAATAAGATCACTAGACTGAATAAGATCACTAGACTGAGCCCCGACCATACCGTCCACTGGTAGCGTCTGTGACAGCAGGGAGGAGCAGAAATGGCATCCAAAAAGGGCAACAGCTCACAGCCCCCATAGAAACTAATAGATAAACAGCAAGCTGAACAGGATCTGTTTCACAGATTATCAGTCATATTTTTTACAATAAATTAATAACTACGTTAATTTCATACAACAATCATGTAAAACAGCAGATTTATACCAGAAAAATATAT